GCGAACTCAAATAGAATGCTAGCACCTTCATGGTTCCCATGGTCAGAAGTCATTTCTCTCTCCTATTACTCCCACAGCACTTTAACCACACCCTTACCATAACACGTACCACATTCCCCCTTGTATTTTAGCAACTGATATAAATGACTCATTAATCCTGCCTGACAAGATTCATTAAATATTATCATATTATCTCTGTTAAGCCACACAATGACTATAATTGTATCTGACACAGACCTGGGGCTCAGTAATGGCTTTTGAAAAGACCCTTGATTACAACTGCCATTGTGAACTTCAAGTTTGTAAGGCATCAATGAATAATCCAGACTGCCAATGTATTCATATGCAATGAGAGCTAGAACTGCCAAGGCAATAGGGGGCTCATCTCAGGTTAGCCAGCATATTTTTTCCTATTAGAGGAAGCACATATGGAAAGCTAAATTAGGATCAAAAGGTTGCTTGGGAAGCAAGGAGAATAAGTTGGGCAATTTTCGTGAATAGAGCAACAGGCTAAATGGCTTGATCATAAAACTACACCCACTATAGGGCCAGACTCTCCTGTTCTCAGCTCTGGGCTTCATCTTTGCTTAGTGCTCCATCAATACTGACAAATTTTTCCTTTATGACTATTTGTCTATTTTCACCCTAACTATTCTCTCCTTTTTAAATTTTTTTTTATCATTTATTTTGCCATTCTCAGCCCTGGCTGCATTTTAAAATCACCTGGAGAACTCTCAAAAACCCTGATACCTGGGCCATTCCCGAGGACCAATGAAATCAGACTTTCTAGAGGTGGGTCTCAGGTCTCAGGATTTTTGATAGCTCTCCAGGCGATTCCAAGATGCAGCCAACGTTGAGAACTAGTACTATATTGATAAAATTTTGCTTACCTATGTTAATATCACCAAGCAGAAAACAGACAAGTCCAACATTTCCTGCCTTTTTCCCTGATATCATATGTTTTCTCCACCCCCCTCTCCTGAGGATATGTGATCTCACCTATTCTGTAGTGTGTCTACTAATTTAATGCCTAGGTTTCTGGAGACGCCTTGTCTTCACCCAAATGGAAGGCTTTCAGGCAGTATCTCACAGGCCTCCAGTGCAGCACATTGTTAGGTCTATCAGCACAGTAAGGTAGGACAAAATACTTTTAACATATACCACAGGCAGAAGGATTCAATATTTTATTATTACCATCAGTGTTTGACAGAAATGAGGTGGGAGGCAGCTGGAACCAAGAGGTAAAGAGTATATCCAAAAATATCTTGAGTGCTAACTTCTTTGTGGTTCACTATGTGGGTCCACCATGTGATAGAAAAATGAATCAGAAAAAGATCAATCCCTCATGCTGAGAATTTGACATGGTTCATACGATGTAAACTGTGCTTTGTACCATGAGAGATAAAGATGCTAAGAGAGTTGGGGGGATTGGGATTGGGGTGTGATTTCTAGCCAGGAGATTATGAGAGGCTTTGTTTATGGGAAAGGAACCTTGTTTATTGGAACCCTTGATTATGGGAGAGGAGGTGGCATTTAAGCTGGGCCTGGGAGTCAGGGTAAGATTTGAAGATGTGGGACTAGGAGGAAGGGCATTCTCAGAGGATATGGCCTAAGCAAAGATGAAAAGGCGTGAAACTGCAGAGGATGGGCAGTAGTTCCATTTCCTTCCTACATGGAGGAAAATAGAAGACATTAATATTTGAAATATTCTGTCATTCTGGTAGTTTTGGAACTATTCCCCATCAAAGATTTGGTTAAATCTTGACCAGAAATTATGAGAGTTCAGTTGTCTGATGTTTAACACTCATAATCTGATGTATGTGTCCAAAGGGTTGGGTAGTAGATGCAGAGGCCTCACTCATGCATTTATATATTTCAGTCTTGAAAGGCCCCAAATTAAATTATAGAAGAGGGAATCTGGAGATAAAGAGACCAGCCATTTCAATGGTAGCGATAGCATTTTTTGGTGAGGTGCAATTTTGGTCACCTGCCATTTCCTATACTATTATTTTACCTTAATAAAAAGAAGATAACACCAGCCCTATGCAAGTTAAGAGTAAATTTGGGTCTGATGATGAGAAATATCTCTGTTAACAAGAACGGAGCAATCTGTGCAAGTCACTCCTCAGGAGTCTGGGGAAGTGGCAACCTGCCAGCTCAGCTGCACACAGAGCCCAGGCGGCCCCACAGCTGTCTCTCAGCACTGCCAGCAGCCATTACCATGGCAACGGCCCCTCCCAGGAGAGCAGCTCAGCCCACTGATACCATCCATCCTTTAAAAATCAACACAGATGATTCCGGATGAGATACTGTGCAACAACCACAAAAATCTTATAGAACTGTCCTTTCTAAGGACGTAATTCAGACAATATAGACTGTGAATTCGATGGGTGATTCTCAAAATTCAGTATGCTTTGGGCTCATTTGGCGGGCTTGTCAAAACACAGATTGCCAGAACCCCACCCCCAGAATTTCTGATTCAATGCAGCTGGCTGGGGTAGAGGCAAAGAATTCGTACTTCTAGCAAGTTCCCAAGTGAGGTTGGTGATACTGGTCTGGGGTCACACTTTGAGAACCACTGGGTTACATACTAGCATTGTATCACTGTTGACTTCCTGATTTTTGATTACTGTACTATAGTTATGTAAAATAATGTCCTTGGTCTTAGAAAATACTCAAAGTTGTATTATATTTAGGACAAAGGAGTATCATGTCTGAAACTTATTCTCAAATGGTTCATTAAAAAATGTAGATAGAAAGATAAAGCAAATGTGGAAAAATAACAATTTGGGAATCTGGATAAAGGGCATACGGAAGTTCATTGTGTTATTCTTGTAACATTTCTGGTAGTTTAAAATTACATTAAAATTATAAATTTTTTCAATTAATACAGGGAAAGAAAGTTACAGCAATATATACCATGTATGTCTAATATGGTAGCGAGAAGCCACATATGGTTATTTATATTTAAATTAATTAAATTTAAATAAAATTTAACATCCAGGCCCTCAATTGCACTATCTGCACTTCAAGTGCTAAAGAGCCATATATATGACTAGTGACTACTATATTAGACAGCACAAGTATAGCCCATTTCCATCAGCACAGAAAGTTCTGTGGAATAGTGTTGACTACAGTTTAAAATATTCTAAGATATGGAAAGAGTCTTTGAAAAAGTCAATGTCCTAAAAGCAGCAATAGAGATAGCAGTAACAGTTTAAGCAGTATGAGTCAGTTGTTTCTAAAATAACAGTTTATTAACTGAAGGAGGCTAAAGAAGAAATATGATGAAATTATAGCAGGTGGATCATAGTATGCAACATATGCATATGCAAGTATCTTTAGCTTTGCATGAATTGGTGACATATTTGCCAGAGTAACTATTCAATATCACTGCTCACACCTGTCATCATCTTACTGATTTTGTCAACAATCCATTGGATGATGGACAAGCAGATATCCAAATGACCTGGTTCTTCTCCACTCACCCTCTGCCCCATCCACTTTCCTCCAAGCAAAGCAGGGTCAAGACATAGGTGGGAAAATACCCAGCAAGGCCAAGGCTGACCTGAAGGGGAATGGCCAAGACATGGAATATTTCAAACTTGTTCAGATATTTTAACTTGGCTATTGGTTTCATTTTGGGTGATAACATCAGCTAATGTGTAAAGCAGGCAAGGTTGTTTTCGCTGCTATCCCTTTTCCTTCTGAGCTTCTTTTCTTTCTCCTGTCTCTTCTTTTTTCTCTCTCAAACAAATGGCACCTTCAAGTTAGGTCGAGTTGTCCAAAGTTTCTGGCCCAAATAGGACTGTCATCTACTCTAAAGAGCATCTTTTTTTCCTCATGTCTTTTGGGCTCCAGCAACATCCAAGTGATAAGCTGACTTCATCCTAAAGTATGAACAGCACCAAATTCTCCCAAGGTGCATTTGGCTAACCCTAGCTTCCATAATATTCTGGGAGATACTTTTTGAGCATAGTCATCTTTGGGTATTCTCTGCCTGACCCAACCCCTGTCAATCCCCTCTCCGTAACCTCTCAGGAGTAAACACACAGATCCACACTGCAGCTACACATTTCCATTTTCCCCTCTCCCACCTCTCTAAGCAGCTTCACACTCCCTTGGGGCTCAGTAAATACACAGCTATTACTTGGATAGAACTCAGAGTAGCTGGAAAAATTGTAAATACCTCAAGCTATAAACCACAAATTGATAAATATGAGGAATTTTTGTGGGGAAAAAAAGCCATACTTCCATTTCTAAACTTCCACTGAAGAAATTAAACCATAGAGCTGGAATTCAAAACTCAGGACATGTACCTCTACTCTAACCAAGCATCTGTTAGAGCATTTAAATGTCCATCTAAGCATCAGACCATTCTAGAAGGTCTGCCCCTCCCCCATCAAAAAATTGTTGAAGCATTCTTCTGCAGTAATTTCTCCTTTTTTGTTTTTTTGTTTTTTTCCTTAGAGATAAAGTCTTACTCTATCGCCCAGGCTGGAGCACAACGGCATGGTCACAGTTCACTGAAGCCTTGAACTGCTAGGCTCAAGCAATCATCCTGCCTCAGTTTCTTGGCTAGCTGGAACTACAGGCTCATATAACCACATCCTGCTAATTTTTAAATTTTTCTGTAGAGATGCGGGGGTGAGGGGGTCTCACTATGTTTCCTAGTCTGGTCTCGACCTCCTGGACTAGCAATCCTCTCACTTTGACCTCCCAAAGTGCTGGGATTACAAGTATGAGCCACCACACCTGGCCTCCTCCTTAAAATATATTTGTTTTTACTGAGTTTGCCAGTGGAGGGAAAAACCCTTCCTTAGAAACAAGTTTTGTCAATTATCTACAGATAATCATTCTTAGCTGCAAGACATGGGATCCCAGGTCTTTATAGTTCAATTTATGGTTTGATAATTGGACTTTTAAGATCTCTTTACAGAAGGCTTTTTACCATTCAGCATATTTTTATAAAGACTTCCAAGAGAAAAGGAGAGTCTCACCTCACAGTACTCCGTGATAATGCAGAAATTATCTTGCTCCACAAAACTTGCATGGAACTTGACAATGGCTGGGTGGTCCAGCTTGGAGAGGAGCTGGGCTTCCAAATTGGCCTGCACAGTTTCATTTGGATTTAGTTCTCCAACAGATATTTCCTTAAGTACCTTTCTGCAGTCAAAAAAAAATTTAAAAAACATTTACAGCCGAAAAACACATTTAATAAATATCATCAAGTGGTACAGAGCCACTAATTAATGCCCAGCTTGTGACCTACTCATATATCTGGTATTGCCTATTATGACACAGTGTCTCCTGGTGGGACCTGGGCCTGTTTTCCTGTCCTGCTTCCCAAGGCCTCTGACCTCCTCATCTGTGTACCCTACGGTTCTATAAGGGCAGACATGGAACTAATCTTGAGCAATATTGCTGGGGTGGCCCTTCCTCCACCTCTCTAGATGTTTCAGGGTCTCTTGGTTTCTCTTATAGTTATCTATTTCTGTCTGTCTCTTTCTATGTGTGTTCATACACACACACACACACACACACACGTAATCCCTCACTCTCACTGTATCTTATTATTTCTTTGCCTCTTTCCTTCTCTGTCTCTGCCTCTTTCTGTGTCTCTCTTTGCCTCTGTGTATGTATTTACATGTATTTACACACACTCACAGGCATGCTTCTCTCTCTCAGCTTAAAGTTCTCCAAATATATTGACTTAATATTGGTAGGAGCAATATTTATTTATTTTCTTTTTAAAACTATCCTTGGCATATCATACTTTATTACTACCAGTATTTAAAAGGAAAAATTAACTAAAACCATTAATAGAGATATTTAGTATTTCTAACATGTATAAATGAAAGAGCTCATTAAATCTCCAAACCATTAATTTAAAAATTGTGATAACTCTATGAGGAATAGACCAAAACATTATCTCTTCCCATCTAAGAAAAAAAAGAGTCTGATAAACAAATCAATTGTAGTACCAAAGTGTAAACTAGACTATTGGAAAAAAATACCTTAGAACACCACTTATGTTTGCAGACACAGTCTGCTGATTATAAGTAAGCATTGGCAGTTCATTAAGGCAAGTTCAGCAGGACCAGCAATAGAAAGCATTTTACAAAAATCTTCCTTAGGAGTAGCTCCCTATGCATATCAATAAAAATGTATTATCGTAGAAAATTTCTTTAGGCCCTTTAACCAGCCCATAAATTAACCATCATTCTCCAGTCCTTCCTAACAGATGCTGACAGATGCCCTTGCCACAGGGAATGCCTCCAGCTAGTAAGCTCTCCTTGACATGCCCATGAACTTCTGCCCTCCCAGTTGAGATGTGTGCTTACCCAAGTCATTGTGTTTATTCCCAAGTCTGCTAATGACAGTTATGCTCATCATTGTAAATTTATGACTTCAGTATAACTTAAATGAAGAGTGAGCGTGAGAGTTATCTCTGCTAGGAAAACAAGTCAAATGAAAACCAAAAAACTTGAAAATAAAAAGTTGCAAAAACAAAAAGCTGTCAAGTAACTGAAAAGACAGTTCTGAAAAGGTTAAAAATGTGAAAATCTAGTATTCTAAATTCAGATTGTTACAAAAAAATAAATCTAGAAAACTAGGTCCTAAAAAATAATATAACAATAACATATATCTTATGGATGTAGTTTATGCAAAAAAAAAAAAAAAAAAGATGAAGAAGTCTCTAACCAGAGGACATTGGATGCTGGCTATACAGCCAAAAACTGGAGAAAATGTACAATGATATATTTTAAGTTGATGTAAATGTTTTAATTAATGTCATTTTATTTTAAAATTGTTTCCTTTTTTTAACCAAGTACCAGCTCCAATCACATTGGAGAGAAGAGCTTCTACCATTTTTAAAAATGTGATTATACTATTAACTTTTCAGTAATTCAAACAAGCCTCTCCCTCTGTTTTACGATAGAAGAACCGTAATATCCTCAGGCATTACCAGAGGTAGAGCTTTCTTCTTGTTTCATACTCAGGGTCTAGAAGTTTTGATATTGCAGTCAGCACACTATTGTATAGTATTCCCCCATACCATTTCTCAGTGAGAGACTACAATCTAAATAAATAAATAAATAAAATTTTAAAAACTCATTACAATTCTAAGTTAGGAAATCCATCCTACAAGCTGACAGCCTAAGTAGGAAAATGTAGAAACTGCCCTTATCCTATTCCGGGGTTGGGTAACATTTGACTTTTTTTTTTCCCAGAGCAGTAAAAGCTAGGTTAAGTTTACATTCTCCAAAAATCTCATAAGGAAAACCTTCTAATCCAAGATGACCATTACTGGGAAGTCACTTCCCCTAAAATTTGAGTCCTTTAATATTTTATTCACTTTAAATGTTCTCCATGGTCTTCCCATTCTGAACTCATCTCATCCCCAAAAGACACCAACAGCAGGCATAAGCAGCTTCCACAGAGGAGGCCAATTTGCATTAGAAAGGGCAGCTCTGCCTAGGAGCCTCACAGGCAAGGACTCCACTATGCCATTAACAGGTGTCTTTCAATGTGACTGCAACATAGAAAGCTGGAACACTTGTCTTCCTTCCCCTAACAGGTGTTTTCACATTGGTTTCAAACAGCCTATTACGCTCCTACTTAATAAGAAGTAGATTCTAGAGAAACGCCTGCTTGGTAACATTCTGTAAAGACTGTTCTATCAAGAATTTGGTTTAAAATGACCTAATGTTATTAGGAGTGGCATTTCAGACTGTTAGTATACCCAAAGAAGCTTGAAATGACATACAAGACTATGTTTTTTTGTTACTGAAGATTACAAAGCAGCAGGCGAAGCACAATGACATCTTCGTAGAGCTTTTTCAGTAATTTACTGTACCCCAGCTTGCATGCAGTTATAAAAGTCACAGTGGTTAAGCATGACAATATAAAGTCTTACAAACTTGCAATATTCTCTTGCTGTGAAGGAACAAATGCTATAAAAAGCTTCAAGATACTTATTTTTCCTTGCAAACACCAACTATTGTGCAGCAGAGCATGAGATTTTACATACAAAATGTAACTACCTGAGCCCCATCTGGCACCCTGATGATAAAGCATAACCCATTTGTCCACAATTTGGCAGATGAAGGGAGAGCTATTAAGACAGGTGATATCTATTATAATCATCTCGTAGATGATGCAGAGACATTCACCTTCCTTGCCTGAAATCATGTCACTGAGCTGACAGAGGAAACTCTCATTGCATATCACTTAATACGAGATCCATATCAGCCAAAGACAGCATGAAAACTTACCAAGTCAGGGACAGCTTGTTACTTGCCCAGTGATTCCCAGTCTGTCACCCCTCCTAAATAACATGACAGACATTTATTTTATCAGAGCCTCAACTCAGGAGAAATTTCATGACAGTAGCAAAATTAGGCATCCCTTGGAGACGTACTCATTTTGTAAACTTCCCAAGTTACATGCTTTCTTTCTTTCTAGAATCAGCGAACTGACAAACTTTGGAGAATAACTTTGGAAATTCAGGATAGCTATGGCTAATTTCATTCCCTTGAAATTGGCCTATGTTTTGTAGAAAGGGGGAAGATGATATCTTTGAGATATTAATTAAGGGCTATTTTTCTCCAAATTTTCACATATCTTTTCACATTTTCCCCATTTAACCAGCAGCATACACTGCTTCAGGAAAAAGGTGACATCACCACAGAGAATATGAGTCAAACATGTCTTGAGTTTTTAAAGAAAAGACCAAGGCTAAAGAGAAAGGATCTGGAGGAACATATGAACAGTGAGTGGGTGAGCATTCTTCTGCCAGGTGAGAAAGAGATCTTTCTCTAGATCAGGGGAAGGAGACAGGGTCAGAGGGCAGGTAAAAAAAATTAGGAACTGCTGAGCCCTTGAAAATAGTTGCTGTGCTGTCAGGTCCAGAAAGGCAACTAAAAAGAGAACTCCAAGATGGGTAGGAAGGTCTGAGAGGAAGAGACCTGTGCTCTCCCTCCAAAGTAGGGCTTAAAGGATTGCAGAACAACCACATTTTCTTATGTCTAGCAAGGGTAAGGAGCTGCAAAAAGCTCTCCAAGGGGCATGTAAACAGATGGGCCTAAGAGAGCTCTAGAATCTCCGGTACCCCAGGAAGGCATGGGAAGCAGCAGAATGAGATGCCATGCAGTCAACAGCCATCTCAGTGAGGGTCAGTCAGCTGGTAGAACTGGAAACCTTTGCAGTAGAGACAATGGTCCTTTCCTTTCTGATGTAACTATTAACATTCATTACAGGTAACTAGTAAATACCTACTACATGACTACAGTGTGGTGGGCACAGAGGAGCTAAGGTCTCTGCTTTTGTGTCTATTGGGAAAGATAGACAACAGGTAAATGTGCGTGAATGTGTGTATATATCATGTATGGTTGTCTTTTTCAAAACTTCAAATTCCAATGAATGCTGTGAAGTTGAGGTAAAGATGTCTGAGGCCCTTCTGCTTTCAGAACTGTGACCCTGATGTGATCAGCAGCTACCCACTTAGCCTAAGTCATGGGAAATTTTCATTTCAACTTAAATGAGTAACTTTTTGGCTTTTGATTTTGCTTTTGTGTGTGTGTGTGTGTGTGTGTGTGTGTGTGTGTTTTATCATTTGCCTGTTTTACAAAGAGAGTTTATCAAATATAATCAGGAGTTTTAAGATTTTTCATCCCTCTAGGAAGGGAGGAATTATTTTTATCTGCCTTTCTTAAATGGGAAGGTCTCTTTTTTCTAATTTACAAGGAAATAGTTTCATTATAGAAAAATTTGAAAACACAACGTAAGGAAAATATTACCCACAATCCAACATACAGACCATCAGAATTAACATTTCTGTGTATTTCCTTACAATCTTTTTGCTACATGTATTTCTTAATAGTAGAGACCAAACAGCTTACACAATTTGCTTACTGCTGTTTTCATGAGACATGATGGTAGCAGACACTTGTCATTTGTGGCTGCCCACTTTATACAGCTTCCTTACATTGTGGCAGATTCCTGGGCTGTGAGTCTTGCCTCCCCTGGAGAGAGAAAAACAGACAAACCAACCCTTGACTGGGTGACTCCCAGCCTCCCTTGAGCTTGGGTGCTGATGTGTGACCTAGGTTCTGTCAGTTAGCTGCATCCAGCCAACACTTTGACGTGAGTATGAGTTGCATCAAGAAACAAGGCGGCACAGGGTCTCCATTTTGCAAATACATGTATCATCAGAAACAGCATGGCCCTGAGCTCAAGGGCAGTAGGTCACTTCATTGGTGATGTTCTGCCCTCTAGCCTGCTCCCCCAGCCCTCCCACCACTGCTGTGAACTATCTGTGTTCTATAACAAATCCTTTTCTGCTTAAACTGGCAAAGGGTGGCTGCTCTTACCTGCACCTGGGAGTCCTGACCAATGCAATTATGCATCACAGAAGTACTTTCAGGTGTTACCACAAATCACTGTAAACACTTTGGGGCAATGAAAGGCAAACCTCCAAAGGTCTGGCTCATTTGGTTCATTTTTATTTCCACCTTAGACTCTTCTAATGCATTTAAGACTGGTAATTCTTTCTCCATTTACAGATAGATAGAAATTGATGGTGGAAAACATCCTGTTTTAAAGTTATTTCATCTCTTTTAATATGATATATAACTTTCAAAAGTAAAGGGGCATGAAAAAGATATATAATGGCAGAGAGTAATGTTTATTCAAAAGTTGGCACATTGATAAAAATAATGGAAGAGCCAGGAACTAAAGGTACCTAAAGGAATAGCTGGTGGGGAAAAAAAAGAGGAGAGGTTAGTAGCAAGTATACTACAGTATACTACAGATGGAGTTTCATTTTATTTCTATTGTTTTTCCTTCCCTTGGTAAAACAAAAGTATTATTTTTATGTCTGTGTCACATTAAAAGACAAAATTATTTTATGGGTTATCACCATATGCCGTAATATGCACTGCTTTTTGCTTTTTAACAATTAAACCCGTAGACCTAGCTCCTTCGGGAGTTAGAACTCTCTAATTCATCTTGTCCATTCTGTGCACCCCTGATCACAAACATGTAGCAGAGTCTTTGGACACAGCAGGGGTTAAAAGGGCATCATGGTGCAGTGCAGGGATGGCAAACTGTAGGTGCCCATGGCAGACATCAGCAACTGAGGAACAAACTGCCAAAGACTTTGAGAAAGGAAATCTCACCTTTCTGTTACTTTACCGTCTATTAACTACCTTCTGTGTGACAAATACCATGCCATGTGCTGGAGATACAAAGATGAAAAAGACAAAACTCCTGCCCTCCAAGAGAGCTCAGTCCCATAGGGAGGCCAACAAGTATATAAATAGTTGGACAGCTTCATGATAAATGATAAAATAGAGCTGGGGGTGGGCAGTGAGGATTCCTAACCTTTCTTTGAGGAGAGAAGAAAAGGCAAAATCTACGGACTAGAGTTTCAGGATGTTCACTTTTGCAAATGCAAACTGCTTTATACTTGCTACAGTGCCTTTTCCCTGGTTGGATCTCAAGCAGCAAAATAAATGAATTTATCATTCCTTACTATTTGCTCTGTATAAATCAATATCCAGTAGAAGAGTGTCTGTATTTGCATTACCTGAATAGACTATGAAAGCTAATCAGCATATGACTCTTTAAAAAAAACTAGTTAATACATTATATTATATATTACGATATTTTATATATGGTGTATTTTTCCTTAAACATATACATACACATACACAAAATCACACTATACATTATGGAATGTGGAATTAAAATGTTACAGGGAGGAGGAGTATTTTTTAAGAGATACATAAAACTGTCAGGTTCATAAACCGCTCCTTCCTTCCTTGTTTTCTTTCTTCCTTCCTCTCCACCTGTTTATTCCCCATTTTTTCCAAAAAAAAAAATTGAAGCTTTACATAGCAAGATCTTTAAAATCAGGGTTAGGAACCCTCCCATTAAGCCATGCTTTGCTCTGGAGGACTCTCTTCATTTGCGTCCCCTAGAAGGCAAACCCTGAGACAAGGATTTGAATGCAAGCAGTAATTTGGGAAGTAATAGGAAAGTGGGGAAGTGAGACCGGAGGGGAAGGAAGCCATGAAAGGGTATATCATCAAGACAGTTACCACTGAGAGCAACTGGAGCTTAATTCTGTCAAGAAACTCTGGAAGCTAGTGTAGAACATTAACCTCAGAGTTCTCCTGCCCAAAGGGTGAGAGGTGATGGGGCTGGGATATTAATCTGCCAATTCCCATTGTCCACTGGCTAAAACTGCTCCCTGGAAGTATTAATTCCTCCACTCTTCTCCCTAGGCAGAGCACAGGAAATCTTAATGGCTAGAAAGAGCACTCAGGCAGAATTGCATGGCAGGCAGCTGGAGGTTAAGTCCATGCATAAGAAAATGTTAAGTGCCCAGGGGATACAGGCAGGACCCCAACACTGTCTTCCACAGGATAAAAATAAAGGAAATTCCTCTCATTTTAAATTCTGGCCTGGTTTCCCTATACTCCTGAAGATGGCTAGTATATAAAGATTCCTAGCCAAAGTAAAATACAGTGGCTTGAATATTCAGTAATGAAACTGCAAACCAATTATAATCTATAGATAAATTCCATTTACTATGCTTTTCAAGACTGATTTTGTTTGCAAATATTTTAGCAGCATGTAAGAGTATTACATACAGATAACAGACAAATAATTAATAATACAGCTAATAAAGAACAAAAAAGAATAAAATTATTTCAGATATTTTTGTTTGGCAAACATGCTATTTCTGGCTGCTGTCTAGATTATATTTCCATCTGTGGTGACAACTTTCATGCAGTGTTTCAATGCTGGTACTATAACAAATCATTGCAAGTTGCCTTTTAGTTTTAAGGAGCAAAAGAGGATAAACAAAAATTTTAGGAGTAGGTGGTTTGAAGACAAATATTGCATGAATAAAAAATATTTAATCACCATTTGTGAATTCTATGAGTTTTCCCATCTGTATAAATAAGCAAAATAGAAATGACTTGAGCACATGTCTCAAGGCTGGCAATAGTGCTGGTGCTCCCTGGGGTTCTCTGCAGAGAATCTCTTGTGTCAATGTAAGAATAGAGCTGGCATCCAAATGGACCATGTCCTGCACTTCCCTAGAGGGCTTCTTGGAAGTGACGTGGAGAAAAGATAAAATGTCTGACCGCTCTATTGTACAAAGCCCCTCCCCAAGCACATGACCAAAGAGTTGTTAGCCAAGCCAAACAAACATGCATGAGTGCATGCTAATTAGCTGGGGAGCAACAAAAGTCTGCATTTGTTCAGGCAGTGTTGGAAAAGCTTGTGCATTTGTGCACTCACAACACGACAGTCATGTCTTCCCCCCACCCCCATTTCTAAATCACAGCCGCTATAAAAGCTTCTGGGGCTGTCTCCTAGAAGACTGGAGAAAAATTTGCCCATCCCTCTTCTTTTACCTACAATATGAGTGGATTCCCTTCATGGAGGAGACAGCTTTCTGGAACTTCTTTTTATTTACTTCTCTAAAAGTTCTCTTTACCACCAAGGATGCCTTGGGTCAATTCTAACTTCCCCTTTAAAATCATATATAGCTCCTCCTTGTCCCTGTCTTTCTCCCCTACACCCTGAGACAAATGGTCAAGCAGTTCTATTTTTCTTACTTATACAGATGGGCAAAGTCATTGGATATTGTGGCTTAATTATTGTGAGAAACACTGATGACTGCCTACCCCACACAGAGTCATCCCCCAACACCCCTAACATCATATGCTCTGGAAAGGAGGATCCTCTCCCTAGTTCCTGCGGTGAATCATAATTGGTCTGGAAAAGATGTTCCTCACTGATAAAAAGAGAAGTATGAGAGGAAACTCTTCTTTCATCCGCCTCTGCATGTGATCATCTGCTTGTGACTCCTTGAACTACGGCAGCCAGCTGGAGTCATGAAGTAAGCCACCATAACATGACTGGCAGAAGCACAGAGAGGTAAGACAGAAGGCACCAATGTCCCTGATGATGTTGCTGAGCTGCTGAATTAGTCACCCAGGAAGTGCTCTCTCTCCAGACTTCTTGTTAGGGGGATAAGAGTTTCTTATGGTTTAAGCCAATTTGATAGCATCAGCCATTTCCTGATACTAACACTTTGCTACAAGAAGTAAGAGGAGATGTTTAAAGAAGAGATTAGAAACAGAGGTAGAGAATGTAGTACAGTAAATATTCCACTCATTTGTAAATGCTTAAGGTTATAAAAACCCAAATGATAAAGTTATTTAGGCATAGCTATGCTGTATAAAAAGATTAGAAGAAAGGTAAGCCCTTTGAGAACTGGGTTATGTCTTATTTACTTAGAAAGCAGTTAATGAGTCTCCTAATTCAAAACATGTATAACTTGGCTCTTTTCTATTTGAGCATTGATATAAATCTTTTAAAAATCATGACAAAATGAACTACAGTGAACGACACAGAAATGAACCTATTGTGAGAAAAAAACTGGGGGATAAATGACTAAAAATTGTTATTAGTACATTTCAAAACTAAAACAACATGATATTTATTTAATTTGAAAACATAATTCAAAATTATTTTATATAAAATTTTTAAGTTATTTAAAAACATCAGGATTCAAAATTATTAAAATTCCACCAGTGTTATACTTCTTCCTTTAGGTGATGATATAGAAGTAATAATAGCAAACAGAAGATAATCTAAAATGAGAGGCAAGGAAGAAAACAGTAAAGCAAGGGGAATGGATGATTCACCAATCAAAAAATATAAAGATTTTAAAATAAATACTGAGTTGAAAAAGACCAAGAAAAAAAGAATTCTTAAAATATTTGGTTTTCACTCTCTCCTGCCAAAAAAGAAAATAAAAAGAAAGTACACTTTATGAACAGTAATAAATATACCTTTTTCTATAGTTCTCTAGTGATAGGAGAGAAAAAGTTACTAAAAATGCAAGTTTATAAAAATTTGCTTGCTAACATACGTGCTGGAATAGCTTTGATCTGGAAGCTGAATTACCAACGGAAGCTAATAATAACATTAGCATAGACAAAAAAAAATGGCAGATATATTCCTACCTGGAAAAAGAGGTTTTGCTCCGATGTTTCACAATATCTCAGAGAAATGATAACACCCATTGTAATGGCGTGGCCCAAGAGAAGCACAAAGCTACCCAATTTTCTTTTTCTTTTTTTTTTTTTTGAGACAGAGTCTCGCTGTATCGCCCAGGCTGGAGTGCAGTGGCCGGATCTCAGCTCACTGCAAGCTCCGCCTCCCGGGTTTTTACGCCATTCTCCTGCCTCAGCCTCCCGAGTAGCTGGGACTACAGGCGCCCGCCACCTCGCCTGGCTAGTTTTTTGTATTTTTTAGTAGAGACGGGGTTTCACCGTGTTAGCCAGGATGGTCTCGAACTCCTGACCTCGTGATCCGCCCGTCTCGGCCTCCCAAAGTGCTGGGATTACAGGCTTGAGCCACCGCGCCCGGCCAATTTTCTTAATGTGTTCCCCATATTCAGCTTCTTTTCCAGTTTTGAAATGGATTTTATATATTTGTAGAATTTTAAAGCTGGACAAGACCTTCTGAAAGCAGATAATCAAAGCACCTCAACCAATTGAAGTCCTGGGACATCAAACGATTAATCGAAGGTCACGAAGCAAGTTACAATGGAGCCACCATCTACCTCTTGAAGGAGGAAACGGACCATCAATTCTGAAGAATGGACTTTTATCTCCAGATTGAATGGTTTTCCCTTTCTGCTGTTAGTAGAGAGAACTTCAGTGTCTAATGAGTAAGATAGTCTAAAATTTTTCATTTTTCGGCCGGGCGCGGTGGCTCAAGCCTGTAATCCCAGCACTTTGGGAGGCCGAGACGGGCGGATCACGAGGTCAGGAGATCGTAGACCATCCTGGCTAACACGGTGAAACCTCGTCTCTACTAAAAAATACAAAAAACTAGCCGGGCGTGGTGGCGGGCGCCTGTAGTCCCAGCTACTTGGGAGGCTGAGGCAGGAGAATGGCGTGAACCCGGGAGGCGGAGCTTGCAGTGAGCTGAGATCCGGCCACTGCACTCCAGCCTGGGCGACAGAGCGAGACTCCGTCTCCAAAAAAAAAAAAAAAAAAAAAGAAAAGGCAGTAAAATTTTTCATTTTTCAAAGAACAAAAACTCCTGACACCTGCTTTCTTCCCTTCCTTAGCACTTAAGTAAAAAGAGAAAATCAAAAACCAAAATCTTGTCGTTGTGATTGGAATAATGGTTTTGCTTTCGAGGAGGCACTAATGACTCTATGTCTGTTCTTCACTATCATTTGAGAGTTACAGAAATCACACGGAAGCCAGGAATATCACCAATTATAGCGCCACAGATGTGGAGGTTTGGGGAAAGACATCATACAGAAGAGGGAGGCAGCGTCTCTCAGGACTTACTCTCCTAACAAGGTGGTGAAGTCTGCATTTTGAGGTTGTTCTAAGTACCACAACCCTGCAGGTATAATTTTGTGTTTGAGGGCCAGTCTTTTTAAAAGTTCAACTGAGCGAAATTCATTTGATTTAAAATTGTTAAACAATGGAAAAGTAGTAATATGTCTTAAAAACAAAAATAAATATTGATAACATAAGACTCTAGGCAGCAAATCACTCATTCACTCCCTTACACTTTGAAAAGTTCTGAGCTTATAGCAAAGATGCTACTTATGCAGGCAAGGAAATTAAGGAGCATAACAATAAGGATATAAAAAAATTACCACAGATAATTTGGTTAGCTTCTGTTACAATTATTATATGCTCCAAATTTAAAATCAGTGTTAGGCTAATATTCAAAATGCAATATTCAAATGAATAATTCATTCCAGGTTTATATTTTGAACATTATAGAAAAATACAAGAATTGCAGATTTCAGTGAGATAATCAGATGACCTTAGAATCAAGATACAGAAACAAATTGAGTTTTAAGAAGCAACAAAAGCTGATTAGCTCCATTTCCTTGACTAGGTAAAAATGAGAAAAGATAAACACCGTTTAAAGTAAAATTAAATTATGATCTAGGCAAGAAGTTGTTTAATAAAATAAAAATAAAAAATAAAAAAATCTAGAGTTTTAATGATATAAATTTCCTTAACCTTATTTATAACAGTAGTAGATTGGCTGTCTTAACAGTAAGACAGCCAAAATAGCAAAAGTTTGTAATTCTAAATTTCAATCTCGATTTCATCATCATGGCAAGTGTAATATGCGGGCTTGAGCTACAACTTTCTGACTGTAGGACAAAGCAAGTTGTTACTGTATTTAAGTTTGAGATGGAAAGCGAAGAAAATGAAACCCTGTATAAGCATACTTCCCTTAGAGGGTTTAAACAACTGATGCTGGGTCTTTTATTTTTGCTGAGTTATGCTTATACCAAATAAAAGTCTATTTTTGTGCACCTAAAAAGTCAGGGCTTAACATACCAAGAGAGCTCAAAGTAGAATCTACTACTAGGAAGGATCTAGTTTCCCTGAATGACAGCTTATGGATTTAGTCTTTGATTTGTAACACACACAAAGTCACCATGGACTGTGTGAGAGGAGGGGGAGACAGGGAGAGAGACATGGCTCGCCTGTCTTTGATTATACAGGCTTCCTTTTTTGGAGACAGGAGGGTGGAGGGGAGCCTGGCTAAATAAAGTGCCTTGGACGCTTAGCACTTGCTACAGTCACAGAGATGCTTTGTGGTTTCTCCTGCCTGCTCAGGTTGTCTACAGGAGCTCGGCAGCAGAGACATCCTCCTCAGGTCATAATGTTGAGTAAGGGACACTAAAAGAAAAAGAGGCTTGAGCATGGTTTTCTATGAGTTTAGTTTCCAGAGATTCTGGAATTTGAGGATAAATCAAAATGTTTTCATGTTAATATGATCAAAGGAAAACATTTTTAGAATCAAAAAGTGTGATACTTGAATAAGTCTCAAAGAAGGGACACAGGGTCTTAGAGCAGTGCTTCTTGAATTTTTTGTGCATACAAATCACCACAGGATCTGTTCAAATTCTGCTTCTGGTTCAGCAGCTCTAGAGTGGGGCCTAGGAGCCTACATTTCTCAGGTCCCAGGTGATGGCTGCAGCTGCTTGTCCAGGGACCACACTTTGAGTAGCAAGGTTGAGAGCAGGCAGGGGTCCAGAAGACTGCCAGGGCTAAAGTGTTGAAGAGCCCCAGTGTTTCTCTAGAGGCTTGGGGCAGAGGGTGGATTTGAAGAGCAGACCAACAGACAGGGAATGTGTCCCCCTCTACCCCCCAATCTACTTACCCCTCCCTCCTTCCCAGCAACCTTGAAATCTCATTTGAAAACAAAGAACTGGGAACAGCTGCTAGTCCAGCTCCATCACCTTACAGATGAGAACACTAGAACTTAGAGAGGCTGCAAGAGTGGATTACATGCCCTCCTGAGGATATTCCACAGCCAACACTGATATGACCCCAAAACCGTCCATTTTAAAATACTGTGAAGGAAACTTTCCTTACATTTTAACCCAGATTCTTTAAACTATAGTTTGCACTGGTTTCCTCTTGTTCTGTTCCCAGTAATGATAAAGTACAGCTGCCCAATGACCCTTTGAACATTTTTTATTACATAATTTATTACCTTAATGTATTTATACTCAGCCTCAT